TATATAGTAAATATATTTAAATATATATAGTACATATATATGTATATATATATCATAATATTTCATAATTTTGTTTTATATTTTCAAATCGATTTTTTATATATAGACCTAATATGTACGTTTTCTATTTTTACCCCAGCCAATAAAGTATCAACATAACGTTGATTAAATTCAATCACTCCATTACAGAATTTCGAAAAAGTTTGGCGGTGTAGAAGCTCGACACTATTAAACTATTCTTTGAAACATGGAATGCTCGTATCTTGTAAATTATGGAAATGTTGGTAGTATACGTGTTCGCAATCTACTTTGCCGTTTGTCAGACAGCAGCTGAAGGTAATGAATTTGATCATTGTCTAACCATATGTTTTTTAAGGTTTCACTCTTAACTATTTGTCTTCAACGTGATAAAAAAAAATTGGATTGAATTGGATTTATTCGGAGTAACAGCCAATGATAACCCAACGAAAGCTTATTTCCAGTATTATGGTTCTTCTAGTTTTGGTGAGGCAGTACACCAAGAGACAATCTCCTACTCTTTTCCGAAAATTGTACTGTGTTCTTTAACGTGGGCTTTATTGGACACGGGTTCAACGGCTTTAACGTCTCATCCGAAAGACGGTGGGTTATTGAAATTTACATTTTAGCCCTCCAGAAGCACAAGGAGACCAATGATGGAAATTGAATCGGGGACCAAAATATCTCTACTTTTATTTTTAAAATCAAATTGGCCTAGGTATACTGTAGACCTTAGGCAATTTTACACAAATTGTAGAAGTTGTAGTAACAGTTAATATATAAAAATATACTTTCTGTAGAAAATCCTTAATAAATTTTAAAAATCAAAGAAAACAATTATTATACACTCTATACATTAGTGCTGTAAACTATAATCAGAGGCGGCTCCAGAGATGTCCGAAACGGGGGCCGAAATTCGGGCCGATCGCGATAACACCACCCTAGGGGGTCCGGTGGCATACACCCGCGTAATTATTGTTTTATAGACGCTCGAAAATAACATCTGGTCGTATTTTGGGAGATCAATATTTCCTTTATCTTTCTTTCTTTCTTTCTTTTTTTTTATATTTTTTTTTTCTTACTTCCAAAAGGGGGTGAGGGGCGGCCAACCACACCCCCCCCCCCCAAAATTCTCCCATGATAATTCCCTTAACTAACAGTGTACAGTGTATATTATTATGTTTATAACTTAAATTTCGATAGCAGTCTATGCTAGCTTCACAGTATACACGATGGAGTATCTGACCTATACTACTTTAATGTAAGAATATAACAGCCGGTTCTATCTACGTTTAATATGTCCAGCTTTTTGTATTTATTCTTTTTAATTATTTACAGGTAATACATATTATGAGGTACCTTTGAGGCGAGCCACTAAAATCGACTTTGTGCTTGATATTTCCGATGCTACGACGACAACCATTTGTTTCAAATTAAGTGGAGGGGTCAGACACATAGCCCTGCTAAACGAAAATCCACCAGGTATTTGTCCAGCTGAGCATATAGATGATGCAGATATATTGGTACCGGCAATATGTATCACCAAAACATCAGAGAAATGTAACATATTTGGGACGACATTTAATTTTCCGTGTGATGATGTAGAAAATATTGACATACATATTGAGTTCATGAAGGAAGACAGTAACAACCGGCCTAACTTCAATCAAGATAATGGCGAATTAACCATCAGATTAAAAGAGCCCTATAAAAATATCTATTATGAAAAGGATACTGCAACGACATGTAATTTAGGTAAGAGTTGTGTAGAGCTCAGCAGACACTGCGTCGTGCAAACGTGGACGTACGAATCACTACCCGCTCTCTTTTAGCGCTTGACGGCACGACACCGTCTGTAAATTCCCAATGGCAGGCAGAGCGGATTGCCATCGTGTTTCGTTCTCAATGGAATCCCTCCGGACGACGGTCGTACGACGCAGTATATGCTCGGCTCAGGAGAAACATATAAATTGTTGTTACAATTTTGTTATTTGTAATATTGTATATCATGTATCTCAGGAAATCCTATACGAGGCTGTTATAATAGTGAGTGGAGTGGAAGTCGTTTCTGAATTTACATTATAGAAATAATATGTTTTAATCAATTACATATAATTTGTCAATTAATTAGAAGCATTGCATTTTTTTTTTCTTTTTTTCTTTTTTTTTTGTGGAAGTGCGAGGAGTTACAACATTATTCACAAACAATATCTTCAACTCACCTTTCCATAAAACTTGCTTTTTTAATAATTATTAGTCATTATTGTGTTATACAAATCAAAGCATCTGACGGTAACAATACAAAATAAGCGAACGGGGTCGAATATAGTCATTGATCCTCGTTCGAGCTGACATGGATAACTTACATTTGTCATTTGACCAATTGATCATTTCTTCAAATTGGAGATAACGTTATATAATATAATCACACAATTAAATTCAGCTTTTATAATACAGTGTTTTAAAAATGAATTGTTTGTTTTAATCATCGAATGCTGTTCTAAATTAAGACAAAATATAGTTAATATTATTGATGTTCCGTTTTTTTAAACGAAAAACTTTATGAATGTATTCATTTTATAATCAAATACAGTACTTAATATACTGTATTATCACCTTTAACATGGTTTAGTAGACTATTCTTTAATAATTTTATTGATACAAAATCAAATTTTTTACAAAACTAAATACATTTTAAAGTAAATATAAATAAACAAAAACGTAAGGTCGTTGACAAAGTATAATGGACGTAAAAGAATTCAGACTATAGACAGCTTCGAACATAATGATTTAAACGCAATTCTTAGTTGATTATGTAAAATAATGGGTATTATAGGCCTACATTTTTTCTTTAAACTGATGATGATAATAAAAATGAGTCATATGCTATGTGGATTGAGCACTTTATACAGTGGTGTAACGCCTATGGGCTTTCAGGGGGCGCCATTGGCCCCAATCCAAATGGGTCTCGGGGTTACGGCTCCTCTCCTTCTCATGAAGACATGTACTACAGAGCTTGACAGTGTATAGAGACACTAAAAACAAAGCAACGATACTTTAAAAAATGCAATTCCACGTAACACGCAAACAGTTGATTATAGCATGTTTGTAATGGGGGAGCCTCAATGAGGCCAAATGATTAGACGTATTTTTTTAAAAGTAGGCCAAACATACGCATGGTGATTACGATGTACGAATCACGATGTAAACATGTACTATGTAATCAAATTTGCTAGTTAGTAGTGTGTAAATATAAAGCTGAGTCTATCGTTCAATACATGTATTCGCACACTTATTTATATTGCAGTATTTTTTAGCACATCGATTTACTTTAGACAAATGCATGCAATAGGGCTCCAACACTTTCTCGCCCCTGGTCCACTTGGCTGTTTGTAAGTCTCTAAAATCGTATCAATTCATTTCGTTTACTCTACAGTATGTACTAATAAAATATTAATATTATTTGGTTTAGATTGTATATTTGGTCTCACGACAAAAAGGAAGTTTCATTTCATTTCCTTTATTTTTTTTTTGAAGATTAAATATAGGCCTACAAAAAATGTTTAATAAATCAGCCAGATTTGATTACACAAAGTATACTATACAGTCCAGTGACTCTCCAAACCGAATCAAAAGACATAAACATTATTAAAAAAAACCATTAAGCTTGGATAGAATCATTTGTCTCGAAAACTCGGATATTGTTTTTAGATCAATCGGCCATTTCTGAAATCGGGGAAAACCTTATAGGCCTATTAGGCCTAATATACATTATGTTCAGCGATACCGTACTTAATATCTACTGTTAATTATTAATTGACTTTTCCTAGCAGTAGCCGGAAAAGACATTGTTTTTGTTCAGATTTTTTTTTCTTTTTTTCTTGCATACTTTTCTCAATCTTTTTGTACTGGGTTTTATGCCCTGCACTTTGGTCACTTCCCATGCCAAAGCATAGACCATATATCAAGGATGTGCCTTCTAATATTTAGTACCAATTTATAGTGGTGTGCGCATGTGAGAACTAATTGAATTGAGTTAAGTGCAAACATTCACCAAAAACGGGTTAATTGACCTGAATGGAACTTTCGGGAAAGTTTAACCATAGAAGTTTGCTCTATGGTTTAACCAAGTTACAAGGAAGAAATTACCGGTATGATGTGTTGTGGACGATCCAATTAAGGATGCAAATTTGAGGGTCATTTAAATTTTGAGTATCCTTACTACAAACCAGATGAGCGTCTACAATATAGTTTGTTAACGTCTAGTAAAGAAATGATTAAATTTATGTGACAATCCCGAGTAGAGTGTGGATCTGAGAACCATTCAAAGAAAAACGTCCTAGATCAGATATTTTGAAAACAGATTAACTGATCTG